GATGCAGCTTCCTCGCCGGACTGGGTTGGGCATTAGCAAAAATCAATAAATAGCCTGAGATTAGTTCCGTTCAGCATCACATGTGAGCTTAAGCTTCGGATGAGATTAGGTTGTGAAAGTATATTGCCAGCTTTGTGTGGATTCAGAACTTCCTGGAAGGTGGGGCGAAGCCTGGTGCCGCACAACTCTTTGGAGTCTGTGGATAGCCAGAAAACCCTGGTGCTTGGTGCAGATTTGGCCAATGGGGAGCAGCTAGCCCAGCTCCTGCCGGACTCCCCGTCTGGTTACGAGGCTAGGACGCAGGCGCTTATGGCCGAGCCACCGGCTGTGCCGGCGCCAACCGGAGGCCGATAAATTGAGAGCGAGTGCTAGAGATCTGCCATGGATAGTTGGGTGGGGCGGTTCGGTGCAATAATCTCAACCTCCTCCGTCACGCTCTTGCTCGCTCCATATAGCTCTCTCTCTCTCTCTCCCTCCCTCCTCCTTCCCTCCTTCCTTCCTTCCTTCCTTCCTTCCTTCCGTCCTTCCTTCCTGTAGAAGTATTCAGGAACATCGAATTTCGGGTTGGGATATAGGGTCTGATAGTCTATGGTTCAGGATTTATATAGGGCCCTGCTTCCGCGAGAGGCCCGATAAATCATAGCAATTTGTTTGATGTATTTTATGCAGGTGCAAAATCCAAGAAGAAGAAGACCAAGAAGGGCAAAAAGACCAAGAAGGGCAAAAAGGCCAAGACCGGTGAGCCCACGCCCGTGGACAAGCTCGGCAATGACACCCGGCCCTCGGCGCTCAAGCGGAAGAGTGCCCTGGCTTCGAATGCAGGGAAGCAATTGCATGTCTGTATATGTTTTCGATCATTGAGTGAATTATCAAAGGTGCGTTCATCGATGATGGTCCGGTGGGATGCGCAATCCCCCTGGCGNNGCGAGGAGATCATGAACAGCTTCGAGGAGGCCTACCGCCACAGCATCACCATCATCCCCAACCCGCTGAAGCCGGACAGCACCCACCACGGGAAGCACAGCTACACAAAGAGCCTTAGCGTGCGGATATTCACAGTTCATGCCTAGCTGGTTGTCGGTGCAAAACTTGTGACCATGTTGAGTTGCTCAGGGTTGTGATGGATAGCAGCGGCGGCACGCACCGGGTGGAGGTGCTCCTGCGCCAGCAGGCTTTCAAGCCGAAAACGAATGGTGTGAAGGCTGCTTCGAGCCTTGGACTGCATTTTGTCATGCTTGCCAGAGCTAGGTAGATGCTGCTGTGAGTGTGATGTAAGGATCACGTGGAAGAGCCAACCCATGGATGTTGCGTTCACGAAGCTCGTGGAGTTTCTGAACGGCCCCGAGCCCACGCCATGAGGGCAGCTTTTGGAGCTTCTCCAGCTTTCAAGATGGAAAAAATGAGCCGTCGAGTTTGGATGCGTTTTGCGAGTGGCTGCCTGCATCAAATCACATAAGTCAGTCGGGATCTGTGTATTGCATGCTTATTGACTTGCCAACTAAGAAACTTGATGGTTTCGAGAATGTGCTTTTACTTGCTGATCCTGTCGGAGCTCCACCTCCCATGGTTCGTGGAACAACCTTCTCTGTCACTGATGGAGACCCACCCGATGTTTGTGTATCTGTGCAAGCGATTTGAGGTTTACAAGGCATCTGGGCTGCACCCTGAGACCCGTGACCAATGTTCGGTGATCGTAGTGGTTGTGCTGTTGGTAATATAAGAGCTCGTCCCAGTGCGTGTGGTAGCTATGGGTTTCCATATCGCAAGCATACCTCCATATGGGGTCAATCATTCTTGGCCGATATCGATCTGAGGTGCATATCTGGTTGGGATCGTATGGAGCCGAGAGTCCCTTGGCTTATTCAATTTCTCGTGCAGTGCCCGTAGAATATTCGATGCTCTGTATTTTTTACTTAGGTCCGAAACCCGTCTGGATCTACAGCAACTACAAGTTCATTGATGAACTGTACCTTCCGCTGCCCCCGAACCAGACGTGGGTCCCCACCGTTTCAAGGCATCTCGCAGACAGCAGCACGGAAAAGCATGTGCAAGCATGAGTGTGTTTCTTGAGTTTCGGTGTAGCAAGTGAAGCACCTTTTTTATGCCGAGGACAACTGATGGCGGCAGAGTCAAAGTCACTGGTGGCCCGACATTGAAAGCATCGCAGACTTATCCGACGCTCTTTGGAGTCGCCGTTCGCAAGATGTATTGTCGACACGAGGATATATATGTGCATGCAGCTTTTGTGCAGCGATGCATGCAGTGTGGATGGTGTGAGTCAAATATGTTCCAGCCACAACATACTCCGCCCCAGGAGGAAATCAGATCTTGTGTTCGTGGCCGGGAGCAATTTGGAAGCATATGTTCGCAGTTTTGTGTTCCCAGTTGCTGGTGTGCATATGTCCAACCCAAAAGTTTCTGAGCTCAGGAAACACCTGATGGAACACCCACGATCCCAGATGCGCGACACTGGCCTGCATGGAGCACGGTCTTCATTAGCTATAGATGATCGATCGGATATTAGATCCTTCGGTAAATATATTTCTGTGAATGAAATTGCGACCAAGGCTGAAATTCTATATCAAAGATAGACGCTACATAGGCGCAGCTATAAGGCTTGGATGGATGAGCGGCTAGATGGCTAGATGTAACAGATAAGTAAGCAAATATCCGTGGAGACAGTCGAGTACATCAATCGGATCCTGGGCGTATGCTCCAAAGCATGTAGTCACTGACAGTATTAGGTTAACTCCGGTTGTTATATATAAACGTTTATAAGTTATATATAGCCATGTGAATACATATACATGAACTATATAATAAGCAAAAAAGCAACCAGAGGTATTGGTGAGTGAACTGTCGTACAGTCTGTAGAACTTATCCTGTGTGTGAATTATATCGTTGCCTTACATGTGTTGCTGTGATTGTGCAACAGATAACTAGACAGGTCGATAGACAGGTAATTAGTACATAGGGAGAAAGGTGGGTTGTTGTTTTCTCGGGGTTGCCGCTTTGAGTCCCGGTCCTGTTTAATGGTTCCTCGGGGATCAAGGCTTTATTGGCTTTATGCTGGGCGGGTCCTTAAGTGGATCTATGGGTTTATTAATGGGTGTGGGCTAGCTTCATCTGAGGACCCTGGATGGGCACGTGCAGCCAATCTGAGACAAGCTGTTATGGAGCTG